ACTGAAAGGGATGAGGTATTAAGCTATATTAAAATTAATAATAATGTTTAAAAATAAAATAAAAATCGTTTAGATTGAATTGATATCCAAAACTTAGCTATCTACGTTTGGTCCGGCRCGTATTTATTTCCAGAAATATTTATTCCAACGATCAATTTTTCCACAATCTATCAATATCACTATATAAATTATAATTCCAATGCTYATTTAATCTATCATTATTTTAGATTAGGAGAAAGGAGATACACAAAGTTACAAACCTTTTGCGCTCAGTCACTAGTCAGTCAGTCGTTGCATAATTGTGAKGGTGCAAGCCGTAAGGGAAAGGGGCAGTTACTTAACTAAAATTTGTATGGGTGCAAAGGTTTGATTTTGCCGCTCCCCCACAGATAATCCAACAATGCAAATATTTTAATCTTCTTAAGTTAAGAAAGAATCCAATATATTCAACATATCATAATATTTACTATTTTTTTCCTCAAACTATTTCATAAAAAATTACATTTATATTATGTTCTCTTAATCTACTGTATATTATGTTGACGTATTGTGAATACAATTTAGTTGAATATAGTTGAAGGCCAACTTCACGTACACGCTAATATTATCACAATAGTCGCATTTAATGAAGTAATTAAATCATTTGTTTGTTATTATTTATACACCAAATAAAAAATATGACATGTAAATAATATTATACTATAATAACTTTTATTAGTGAACTCTTATATGGTATACTAGTTTAGGCTATTTCAAGTAGTTTAAGCATACATAATGTACAATATATATTATTTATTATCTATGAGTTTAAGGCTATATTTTCCAACTAATTGTCAAATATATTATGAATATTGTATAGATGATAAGTACCTAATATTCTGATAAAATTAAGTTAGTAAGTACTCAAATTCAATTTAAATATTTATATTTATAGACACTATAGTACCTAAAAGTATTGTAGTGGTATAATATGGTATATACAACAAAAACTAAATCATGAAATTCTCCGTCATACATAAAATATTTATAATTCAAATCAAACATATTTATTTAAATAAAGATAGTAATAATAACAATTGTTCATAATTTCCGATACTTAAGACCAATTTAAATATAAGGGTATTTTTAACAGTACAGAAAAATTATAGTCCAGCTAAAATTCAATTTTTAGGTACCTATGATTCATGAGTATATTCTGCAACGCCTCAAATAATGATGCCCCTACGATCCTACATGCACGTGCGTACGGAGTAAGGCGCTAGGTGTGCCTAGAGGGCTAGAGAGGCACATAATTAAGGGGGACGATCGCCCCCTCCCCAAGCCTKTATAATAGTCTATTTTTGATAAAAGCGAGACATAAATTTCCACCATAAAAAAATTTAAAAGTATAATAATAAAATCATAATTGTTTTATATTATGTGTAAGAGCATATCGACACTTATAATAAAAATTTATTATTGAGGATTTGGACTATTAAAAAAAAAAATTCCCCCCCCCCTCAATATGAGGTCCTATGATAGATAGTACCTGTGACTAGGCACTCCCGAAATTCTATGATGAAACTCTAAAATTTAAGTCCCAGAGCCTAGGGCCCGTATTTTTATTGATGTTACTAGAATAAAAAGTAATTTATTCTAAAATTTGTGGTAAAAAATAAATCATGGATCGTAATAAAAATATAATAATAAAACATACCTATGATATTTATTGGAATAACTTATTATGATTATTAGGTATACGTTACATTGTTACAGTAACAAATAAATGTTATTGACTATAAGAGTCATTATAATAGACATTAGATCTATGAAAAAATTTAAATTGGTAGTTTGGTACTAAATACTAGTAATTATTCTGATTAATATGTACATGCCTTGAAGAGATGGCCCAAATTATGGAAAATGACACGAAAATATTGTAGGCGCTCCTAAAATTCAGATTTGTCGTTCCAGCTCCACAACATTTTTTCAAAGTAGATAGGTACTTATTTTTTTCCACTGAAATTATATTTTAAATTATTTTTATTCCGATACCCTCCKTGTTTCCATAAAAACGTCATCCAATTATTTAATTTTGTTTTTTTAGTTCTTAGAGCGCCACTCTTAAGGTTATTGTCTTAATAAATTAATAAAATTGCAACAGAAGTATTGTACAGGCGCATATACAGAGGGRGGTTAGGGTTCAACCTCCCCATCCACCGAAATAATTTTTAATATAGTAATATTTCTATATACTTGCTTATGAACAAATTTCATACATACAATTTTGATATTTAGCATAATAATAGTCACATTAAAAATAATGAGCAAGAAGGGATATATTGTTGTATTACAATTTGGATTGCTATATCCCCCCTCCCCCCGAAATTTTATTCTGTGTACGTGCCAGATATTGTATAAGTTTACAAGCTTACAACATGTCAACACGAGATTGTTACTTGTTCCAAAAATATATCTTCCACATGCTTTCACGAACCATTTTTTTCATTAGACATTCAATCAATGATCTTTTATTCTAATACAATTTCAAACTATACTATTTATACTATTGGAACAAATACGTCTTTATTTTGTAGAATATTCACACAGATATTATGAACGGGWATATTGTAGTGATTGTACTTTTGTACATACTCGTATTATTATCTCTACTAGTACATAATATCCATTAAACTATATGTTATCAATTTATCATATAGTTCAATGATAATATCACGGTCTTGCTGCATATTAATAATAACATTATCACAAAAAATAAAATTGAAATTACTTGTAAAATAATGTTTTTTTTTTTTTTTTTAAATGTAAGATTTACCCGATTTAAATGATTTAAAATTAATAAGTCAACTCTTAAGAGTTAAGACTTCTCGTTAAGAGAATGTTACCGGGTATTGGTGTTTTTGGGACAGGTAACTATTATTTACATAAAATTATTTCCTATATATTTTAAATTTAAAATAAATGTTATAAAATTTCGAATGACCATCATATAATATTAATATTATTTTTCCATTTGCTTTAGAGTTTATTTATCTTATCTTAAGGCTTTTTATTAACTACATTTATTATTTTAATTGTGTTAATAATAGTTTTTATGAAGTTAATGTTAAAGAAAATGATAGATAATRTTAAATAGACAAACACCACCAAATAATTGGTCTGTAACTAATTGATTTAATATGTTAACAGGTAAAGTTATTGAGATAATCGTACCCTTTTTACGCGATAAGGGTTTCAAAGTAGAAGCAATATGGGGACGCACCATGAATGAAGCTGAAGAAGCTGCTAAACGTCTTCAAATACCGTTTTGGACTAACAAAATTGATAATGTGCTCCTAAGAAAAGATGTAGATCTCATTTTCATTGTATGTTCTCCAAATCTTCATGCACAAATAGCCGTCAAAGCATTGGGTATTGGGAAACATGTTCTGTGTGATAAGCCAGCTGGTTTATGCCAGAGTGAAGCTATTAAAATGGTACATGCTGCACAATACTATCCTTCACTTATATCAGTTGTCAATCATAGCTTGAGATTTTTACCAGCATTTGTACAAATGAAAAAACAGATTGTTGAAAACAAAATTGGAAATGTGTTTTTATGCGATGTAAAAGTACAAATGGGTCGTTTGTATGGGGATAATTATAACTGGTTATGTGATAAAACAATGGGTGGTGGGGTTTTAACTTTAGTCGGAAGTCATGTTATAGACTTGGTTACRTATTTGACTGATCAAAAAGCTATCCGTGTTCATGGTATTGTTAAGACATTCAATAAAGATTTTAAGTGCATGACTGGCGTAAGGCAAGTGACAAGTCCAGACTTCTGTACTTTCCAAATGGAAATGACAGACAGGTCTTTAGTTACAGTCACATTAAATAATCATCTTGCTGGAACTTATATACAAGAAGTGCTTATGTGTGGTACTGAGGGTAATTTAATTGTCAAAGGTGGAGATTTATATAAGGACAAAGACGAAGTATTGTATTTGGATGTGGAAGACTTACAAAAATCAGATGCGATAAATGTAGTTTCTGCAGATATCATGCCTAGACCTTGTATGAAAGGTTTACTAAAAATGATCAGTGCTTTGCGAGAGGCATTTTTGCCAGTTGAAGATAAAAGAGGTTGGATAAAAGAACCAGTTTCATCTGCAGCCACTTTTGAAGACAGCTTGTACGTCCAAGCAGTAATTGATGCAATACGATCTTCAAGTGGAAACAAAGAATGGGTTAAAGTTGAAGTAATCACAGAAGAACCAGATCCTAATCCTTTACTGAGCGCTGCTGTAAGAAAGAGTGGCATGTCCATGTAATTTRTAAAAATACAAATATATTATTTAATTTCTTTATTGGCATTTTTACTTAAATAACAGATTTTTATTGTATACATTTTATAACAAAATATAACTTATCTTTTTAACAAGATCTCATTTTTATTATACAATTTTGTAAACAATAAATTTTAAATTGTACAAATAAAAAAATAGAAGCAATTAGTGGTCCATTTAATACAATACAATTAAACGTGTTTATTTCACTGCAGAAGGATTTGATTGAATTTCAGATATGTAACTGAAAAAAAAAGTAAAATTAAATATTAAAACRCAATTAAACCTCCATAATATCCAGTGGGAACAGTAGTCATAGTTATCCAAATTATTCATTTTTTACTGTTAATTGTGTACTTTATAAGGCATTATAAATGTAGACATCAAATCAATAATACTATGTATCACATTAACCAATAAATTGTTACAACTTTAAAACTAATACATTTAAAAAAAGTTAAATATTAACTRCTGAAAATTCAAAAATATACTAATTCAAAACCAGTGGTCAGCACCCTAATTGTAGTGAWGCTACTTTAATTGTAGCTAATAACTATGAAAGTGTAGCTACAATATCTACAATAAAACAAAATATTATAGCGCGCTAGAAATTTATGGTTAGCGTAGCGAAAATTTTATTAAAATAATATGATGACAGTTTTTTGGTTTTGAGTTTTCTTAAAAAAATACATGAGAATCWTCAAATAAACCTGCCTCCCGGAAATACAAGAAAATAGTAGTAGGCATTAACAAATTATGACCAAGTATTTAATCATACGAGTGAATATCAAAATAAACCAAGACAATTTAAAAAAAAAAGTACTGCACTACAATTTTCAAAAAAGTAACTTTAGCGATAACCAGCTACTTTAATTGAGGGTAAAAACATTAGTATTAGCGTGCTACAAAAAAATTAGTTGCATCTTGATCACTGTTTAAAACATCTTTAACCATAAAATACTTTTTATTGAATTTATCAGCTTATGACTAATTAATAACATATTTTTATTTAAATAAATAGCCTTGCCATACAAGCAGTTTTAAGGTTAACAAAACCTTATTTTTATTGTATGCAGTGACCATTGTGTTTATAAAAGAAAATAATTTGTAGATCGCCTAAATAATTTAATACTTATAAATGATAACTTTATTAAACATTTCTTAGAATCCTAGACAGTTCGATATTAATTATAAAAATACAAAAGACAAAACATTATTTGTATTTAATGTAAAATGTCATACTTGGTCATCTCTTTAATTTGTTTATCAATTTCCTCTTCAATTTCTTCCAACTCTTTCTCACAAGTCATCAATTCATTATATTTCTTATCTAATGTAGTGATTGTTTGTTCTAATTCATCCATGTTGTCCACAAGCTTTTGAGCTGTTTCTTGTGTATCATTTTTAATTACTTCAGTCCCAATAGATTCTAATAAAACCTTAGCATCATCTAAGAAAACATTTACACAAAATTAAAAGTTCATTTTCATAATCAACAGTATACTCCGACTTTGATATTCAAGTAAAGATCATAAATTCGTAACTAACCTGTCAACAGAGGAGCTTCTGTTTCGTCTATTGTTTTTAAATCTTCTTCAATTTCTTCTTCTACTGGTACTATAGGACATTGTGGTATGGGAGGTTTTTTATTACTCATTTTATTTATGATATTTCAAACTTAATTTTTGAATAATTTTAAAAAGACAAAAAATAACCTACAGTTTTTCTACTCATGTAAGTTCAATGCGATATGCGATTGTCATCAAAATCAAATGTATACAAACTACCAAGTACCTRTGATTATCATATTTCGTATTTTCGTAATGAAATATAATTATTTGAATGCATACAGCATATTATTATCTACATAGTACATATTATCAACCATTTACACAATCACAACCACGATTAAAGATAGTATCTTTAATCGTGATCACAATCATGGCTTAAGATAATACCACAGATTATATAAAATTTATATTATTATTATTATTATATTTATTTATTTATTTATATTATATTTGTATTTATATTTATTTATTATATACAATTTTATATAACCTGTGATAATACTATCTAAAGCCGTGATCACAACCTCTTGAAGTCTTGTACGATTTGAAATTTGAATAAAACTATTGTGATAAAACCATTGAGTAATATTACTTCATGACGTGTTATCATAACAATTTAAAATAAAATAAAATCATGGTTTTCCCCATTGAATATAGCTTTGTTTCCACAATTCCATGGCTAAATTTAGCCATGCACAATTCCACGTTTTAGTTTTCTACTTTTACTTTTCTAGTTTTCTACTTAATTTAATTTAATTTATTTCGTCTCATATGATATATTGACATATTAATACTCACCTTGAAGCCAGGTATTTTTGAATAGTTCGTATTCTTTACTCTATAATAAAATATAAAAATTTTATTTATTTCAAAATAAGATTTTAATAGGTATATATTTTTAATTGAAAACAATAAATATATGGTGGTAATCAGTTCTTTATTGATGATGAAACAAAATTATTTTTGTTAATTGGGATCTCAATCTTTTTTTGGGTTGACATAATATTGATTGTTATAATAGTCTGGTAATCGAATTTGTGAATTGAACTTGTAGTGGTTGCTTAACGTCTTATTTTACCGCTGTAATCCTGCACCAAGTATATTTTGTGGAAAACTCGACTCCACCACAAGTCCACAACTGTGTGCCAATTGCATCCAAAATGCATTCCATATGTGAATTTTTTATCTAATYGTAGCGATTAACCTTTACTGTTATTTTTTTTAATATAAATTGTATACGTAGGGGAAACTTATATATTTTCTGTCACAATCGAAATATTTATAGTTCGAATAGGTTAAAGGTGAAATAATATTTGCGTAGGAGAAACTCCTTAAATATTTGTTGYCACAATCGAAATACTTACAATTCGAATAGGTACAAAGTTAAATTATTTGTCTTTTCGATTTTTCAAATTAAAGTATTTAGAGTATTTAAAACAAAATCATACTGAATAAACGGACATTAATTATGTTAAATTTAGCAAAGCCTAAAGTATGTATTAATTTAATTTACAAAAATATTTTTGATTATGTAAAATTTTCAGATTTTATTGGTGAGTAATTATTTTTATAATATTATAAAATAACATATTTATTTATTATACTATGTATTAATATATTAGAGCAACCCAAAGAGCCATTGAATTTTGWATATCAAAATGACACATTTGTTATTGTGACACTTTATTTGMCCACCAACTGTCATAAATCGAAACATCATCGGATTTGTAAAAAAAAGTCGTTAACCATAATGTAAGCATAAATAGAGTATAAATGTTTTTTTTTCAAATAAAATTTTTTTTTCGTCTATCTTAACAGGAAATCTCTATAAAGGTTTCGGGAGCTATTATTTTTGGCGAAAGATTGTTTAATGATGGTAAAGGTCCAATTATTTTTACTCTTGACCAGTTAAATATTATTTTAAARAGTTTTGGCCATTATATTAACAATTAACTCACATAAGTATTWGGACAATACTTGCATTTTGCAAGCCARTATTAACGATGTCAAAATAGCCCAATTATAACTATTTGAAGAAATGGAGAATATATTTCATTTTCTTCTTAACAATATATTCATCAATGATGTTGATGTATTGTCAAAAAAGATTGTTGATGATCAACCAAAATACTCAAAAAAAATAAATGCATAAAAATTTGCATATCAGTCTATTAAAAATAAAATGAATAGTGCACAAATGAAAAATTTATTAGAGTTATATGCACTATCCCACAAGTAAACTATACTATAATTACACTTTTTAAAATAATTCACTTTACACTAATAATGTATTACTTTATTAAAAATATATAGTGTTAAAAAATATCGAGGTTGAAGTTATCAAAATTTTATATAAAACTTGCATTTTATTGATACAAAATGAAACAAAAATTGCCTAATATGTTGCCATAATGTTGTCATATAATATGTATGACTGAAAATACTGAGATAATACTACTAAAATGCTAGTATAAGCATAAATTATATACATTTTTA